GAGCCCGCATCCACCTCTCAGGCTCAGAAGACCACGGGCAGGCTGCACTCTGGTCAGGGCCAGTCAGTGACTTCTGCCATGTCCCCGTCTGTGTTTTTCCCAGCACAAGCCTGGCTTCCCATTTTTCATTCCTGCCCATGCAGCTGGGTGAACTCGTGGGGCTTTGTGTTTGCAGCTCTGGGAAGCCTTATGAAAACTGAGCACGCCCAGCCCTGCCGTACGTGTTTATTGTACCCAAGACCCCGTCCCACCCTTCCTGTTGTCAAGAGTGCCCTCCACCCTTAACCCAAACCTCCCTTGGTCAGAGATGAGCCAGCATTAGGAAATGTTCATGGACATTCTGGGGAAAGCAACTTTCCTAGCTGCCCATTTCAGTGATAACATAGTAAATGCCAAGCAAGGCAAGAAAGGAAATCATTGGGCCGGGGAGATGGTTCAGTGGAATAAACGCTTCCCTGGCAAGCGCAAGGGCTTGAGTTCAATCCCTGGCTCTGCGGGGGAAGGGGGAAGAAAAAGGAAGAGGAGGAGGCAGGAGGAGGAGGCAGGAGGAGGAAGAGGAGGAGGAGGAGAAGGAGGAGGAGGAGGAGGAGGAGAAGGAGCACGAGAAGCAGGAGGAGAAGAAAAGGAGGAGGAGGAGAAGGAGGAAGAGGAGGAGAAGGAGAAGGAGCACGAGAAGAAGGAGAAGGAGAAGAAAAGGAGGAGGAGGAGGAGGAGGAGGAGGAGGAGGAGGAGGAGGAGGAGGAGGAGGAGGAGAAGAAGACGACGACGACGAAGAAAGGAAATTATTATTATTTGATACCAGGGATCAAAACTCAAAACTCAGGACCTTGTGCTTGCCAGGCAGGCACTGAGTTATATCCTCTGTCCAAAAAAATAGTCTCTTATAAGCTAGCAGTGACACTCTTGTCATCAAAATAAATGCAAAGGAAAGTGGGAGAGGCAGAGGGGGACAGTTTTCCCCACCATGCACCCAAACTGGCTTCAGCCCCTGGCCTCAGCAGCAGGTGGCCCCCATCTGGGGACTCCAGGAGGTGTTGCTGGAACCCTTGGTTTCTGGGCCACACCCTGGTCTCCTGAGGGTGTGACTCACTGTTGAAGGAGAAACGAGCCTCTTCCACACAGAAGAGTGAAAACGACTGGCTTTACTATGGTGGCTGGCCACAGGCAGCGTGCCAACATTCAAAGGGGGATGGAGCTGAGACCTCGCCCTGCCAGCAGCGGACTTCCCCTGGGTCCCCCTCTGCCCCACAGAACAGCTCCTGAGGGCAAGAACTCTGGCTCTGGCTCTAGAGGAGGTGCTCTCTTGCCTGAAGTAGGATTCCTGTATGCAGATGGGACTTACTTTAAACACCTAAGTCATCCCATGGGGTTTTCCAGGACTTCCACCCAGTCTTCTCAGGCACTGTTTGAAAGAACTGCTTTTTTTGTTGTTGTTTTGTTTTGTTTTGCGGAACCAGGGATTGAACTCAGGCCTGTTGCGCTTGCCAGGGAAGCACTTATTCCACTGAGCCACCTCCCTGGCCCCAGAACCGCTCTTAATGTTTCCTCACAGCATCTTTCCACAGGAGAATTCCACAGGGCTTGGGGCTGCCACTCACACGTCCCAGGGCTAGTGGCCCAGGCGTGTCTGGGCTGCCTAGAAAGAGACATTCTGTCCAGTGGTTCTGCCAGCTCCCGAGCTTGTCCCTCCTCTCTGAGAGGGCTGAGTGACAGGAGGTTGGGGGGATACGGCAGGGCATCTTCTGCTGCTTGGACCCAGTAAGGCCATAGGGAGGACTCGGCTTTGATTATTCAGCATTGTGCCCGAAGCGAGGCCTGGAGGCCAGGTCCTCAGGCCCACACCCCTGGGCCCAGTCTAGTCAAGGCTGAGAATCCAGGCCAGAAGTGCTCTTGGTTCCTCACACATGGCTGGTGAGTGTCTGGCCTGGGTGACTTGGCAGTGGGGCAAAACTGGGGACTGAACCCAGGGCCTTTCCACTGAGTTATATTCCCAGCACTTTTACATTTTGAGACAGAGTCTAAATTGCCCAGGCTGGGCTCAAACTCGTGATTGTCCTGCCTTTGCCTCTCCAAGTGCTGAGATTATATGCACCCACGACTAACCTGGCACTGGTGACATTTAATTCTTCAACAACGCTTCTGAAAAAGTTAGGTATGATGGTGCCAGCCTGTAACCCCAGCACTCAGGAGGGTGAGGCAGGCCAAAAGTTCGAGTCCCGCCAGGCAACTCTGGTGAGTTAATAAGACTATCTCAAGGCCCTAAAGGCCCTGACTTCAATTCCCAGTAAAACACAGGCACAAATAAATAAATAAATAAATAAGTGAAATAAAAGATGAAATGCTGCTGGGAAGGAAGCTGCCATTGGGTTGGTTTTCTTCTTTCCCAGGGAGTTATGCTCCCCCTGCCCGCTGGCCTGGGCACTTTCTGGCTCTGGCTCAGCACACTCCCCCTCATCTGGAGGACTCCTTGTCCATGGGGTTCATGGGGCTTGGGGACCTGGGAGATATCTCCTGGGGCCATTGGGGACAGCAGTTCCAATGGAGCTGGCCTGGTGGTACTGGAGCCTGAAGTGGCCCATCCGAATGCTCTGGAAACGCTGTCTGCCTAACGTGACTGGCATCAGTTTGTGAGCACAAACAGATCTGACCTAGTATTTAAAGTAATTGAAAATAAACGCACAGGTGTGTTGGGCCACTGGCTGGATAGGAAATGACCTCAGGCTGCAGGAGCACCTGTCTCTCGGTCCTTGGGCTTTGTTCTCCAAGGGGAACACCTGTGCCTGCACACAGCAACCCTTGAGGCGCTGCCCTCCGTAGATGCTGCGGTTGGTCACAGCCCCACGGCCGGGGGAGCGAGGCACTGATGGTGACTGAGGCGCCTGGTGCTCCCGTCTGCTCACCTCACCCCACTCGCTTGCTCGTCTCTCCTGTAGGCAGGCACGGCTGCCATTGACCCTGCCTCGTCTTGCATCCCCGTTACTTGTAAAAGACCCTGCCCCAGGTCTGCAGCTGCCGTGCCTGGTGGTCCGCAGCCACGCTCTTTACTATCCAGGGAGCACTTCCATCCCGCTGTGGCCTGGCCCTAGGCCTCCACCCCTTCCACAACTGGCCCGCCGGGGTCCAAAGACTGACTTCATGCTTGAGAGACAGAAAGGCTGCGAGTCCACAGACAGAGGGGTGCTACATGCCAAAGTTGTCCTGGGCAGTCTTTCCTCATGCTGCGTGTGTGACAGGTGGCCTCTGAGGCTGGGGCAGCGGCACAGGTGTCCACCCACAGAGGCTGGGACTCCAGCTTTCCACTGATACCCCAGCTGCAAAGAGACCTTAGCGTAGAGGACACAAGGATGGGGGCGGCCAAGAACTGCTGCAGGTGAGGCTCAGCGGCAGCAGGCTGTGGGGAGGTCCTGGAGGGGGTCTGGGCTCACCACCGTGGGGAGGCTCCAGCCAGGGGGTGTGCAGGTAGCGTCATCCACCCGAGACCACGGCTTCTTCCCTCATGGGTGTGTGTGTGCACGTGCGTGTGTGTGTGTGTGTGTGTGTGTGTGTGTGTATGGTAGCATCAGGGCAGGGCACACAAATGAGGGTGCAGCTAAGTGGGCCGGTAAGGAAATGATAGATAGCACATTTTCTCTAGTTTCTTTCTTTCTTTCTTTTTTTTTTTTTGTAGTATTAGGGACTAAACTCAAGGTCTCTGTACTGAGCTATGGCTCCACCTCATTTTACTTTGCAGCAGGATCTCACTAAGTATCCCAGCTGCCCAGGCTGGACTTGAACTTGCGATCCTCCTGCCTCAGCCTCGAAGAGTACTGGGATCACAGGCATGTACCATCATCCCCGGCTCCCCTCTCCACTTCTGAAGGTGATGCTTAAGAGACTCTGGAAGGATTCAGGCTCAGGGTCGTGAAGCCATGAGTCAGAACGGTTTCCTGAGAGGAAGAGAGAGCTCCCTGGGCTGCCTTGCTGGCTGCCTGCCCAGAACAATCACCACCATTTCCAGCCACCTGGCATTTGCTGTGACCTGTGGTCAAACCCATTTCCTTGACATGTTCCCTCTGCACTGGTTGTAATATTCTGCTCCCTTCTCTCTGGCCCTACTTGTCGCACTGGTCCTGGTCAGGTGTCCCTTCTGGAATAGCTGTAACACAGGCAGCAGGCTCTGGCTCTGGCCTCTGCAGCAGGGCCCTCAGCTGGCTCTAGGCTCCTGCTGCTGTTCCTCACTTCTTCAAGTCCAAAATCTGCGATGCTCCCAGTGCCCAAGAGGTCAGTGTGCCGTGACTCGGGAGAGTCCTGGAAAGTTCCTGGGAAGAGGCCTGCAGTAAAGAAGAACAGCTGGCCAGGGTTGCCTTAGGCAGTTTCTAAAAAGGCAGCAGATGAGTCAGGGTAACATAGAAGACTGAGAAAAAAGGAAAAACTAAAAAACAAAAAAGCCATGGTTTTGAACCACCTTCATACATCCACACGCTGGCTGGACCCACCACTTCGGTGGCTACTGCCTATTTATAGACCTGGGTCCCAGCTCACTACCAGGTACAGAAAAATGACTAAAGAAATACACTCTGTATTTTTTAAAAATTTTATTGCGCATAAAATGGACCATTCTCCTTCGTGTCAGGTGGTCAGACGCTCCCAGCTTCCTGTTCTTCAGTGTTGGGATGGAACCCAGTGCCCTGCACATGCTACGCACGCGCTACCACCGAGCTACATCAGTCGACCCTAAGCTTTTACCAAACTCTCCTTCCACCGCTGGTCAAAATCAGCTTGAGGAGGGTGGTGGGGGCAAAGCCCAAAGGTATGGACTGAGCAGAGTTAGACTCTCACACGGAGCTGCCTGTTGGCCTCAGGTTGGGGTGCAGAAGTGGGGTCCCCAGGGGATGCTCGGCCTTGTGTCTGGGGTCCCTCCAAAGGACTCTGGCTTTTTTGTGTGTACAGACTCCGCTTCCCTGCCTTCAGGGAACATCTTAAATCTTGGGAGGGAGACCTGGCTCGACTGCATGCATCTCCAGAGATAGAAAACAATCCACGCAGCAAGTCCCCAGCACGCTCCAGACAACTAGTGGCTACAAACTCGGAGCTTTAAAAAGAAAAAGTGCTCTCTGAGAACCTGAAGTCCTAATACCGCTGTGAGTGACAGCTGGGGGACACGTGGCTGGCTGGTGGATTCGTGAGGCCTCTCTGGGGTCTTTGGCCCCCTTGAAACTGGGCATAGGCAGCAGCATGTGCTTCGGAAGGATGCAGCGGCGTCAAGGTGGCCGGGACTGGGCAGCAGCAGGAGGCTGAGGAAGCCTGGCGTCCTGCAACGCGAGGCCCCCGGAAGCACGACACTGTTGCTGCGGCCACTCTGGAAACTGCTTTTTTCTTCCAGGGTTAGTAGGACAAAGGGGCCAGAGCCAATTCTGCTGGGCTTGCAGCTGGAGACAAGAGAGTAGGGGAAAAGGCCACATGGGCAATGAAGGTCCTGTCTCCAGTCTGATGGTTATTGGGGACACAGGTTGGAAGATGGAATGGAAAATATGCCCTGAACACATGTGGAGACTGCCTCGATGGCCATCAGGATACGGAGGCCCAAGCTGCGGTGGCTGTAGGACATTTGGGTCCCCAAGGACAGATGGCAGCATGTAGACACAGTGAAGAAGAAGACAGGTTCTTGGCGCCTTTGTAGTTGGATGAATGAAGTTGAGGCACAGTGTGGTTCCGTGCAAACCAAGGTCAGCGCAGCCCCCTGCCCATCCCACATGGAGTGGCCGCAATGCCCTCTCCTGGATGGGCCTAGCACTGACACTGGGTGATCCCTCTGCTCCGACCCTGCTTCCTCAGTGTTCTGGGCGAGCTGTGTCCAGCTAGTCTCTGGCTGAGCCACAAGAACGAGCAGTTTGGCATGTGCAGTGGTTACACAGTGCCTGCTAGCCCTTGCGGCCCCAGACCCTAGTACGAGGACAGAACAGAGGGCCAGTGTCGCTGTTTGCCTTGGAGCAGCTTAAGTCCCAGTGCCTGTGCTCCAGTCTCGCTGGCCCTTAGGCCACACCAGGTCCGTGGTCCCAGCCTTCATGGTCTCGCCAGCCCAAGGAGGCTTACGCCCCAGCTTGAACATACCTGCAGAGGGAGGTGGCACCCTGGCACCAAAACCAAGAGAAACATCCCAAAGGGAGAGCACAGAGTGGCATCTCTGCCTCTCAGCTTTTCCCCGGCAGCACTGAGATGCATCTTTGATGTAGAAGCCCAGTGCCACAGCAAGGGCAGGCTGGGGGGGCGGGGGCGGGGGCAGGTGACAGTTACTGGAAGGAACAGGAAAGCTGTGAACAAGGGTCCAGAGGGCCTTGAGCTGCTCTCTGACGCCAACCAGGTCAGTAACACTACAAAGAAGCTAATAAATAGATGCATGTAACGAGTGTTCAGTCTCCAATCAGACTCTTGGGGGACGTCGCAGAGACCTCTCTGTCACTCCTACACGCAGGTGCCAGGTGATCAGTGTCTCTAGCAAGGATACAAAAATGAAGTTGCTTCTTTTCAAGTATTAAAAAAATAAGTTAATTGCCAAAAAGGGTCCGAAGTGGCTGAGCATCGTGCCAAGTTGTCAGCTTCTTTTCAATGTGCAAATGCAGGAAGAACTCCCAGGCAGAACGGAAGCTCCTGCCCGTGGGAAGCGCTGAACAACGACAGTGCCTGTCAGCAGGGGGCTCGACGAGTGGGGCCTCCCCAGCCCTCAAACCCAGTACTTTCCAGTGTCAAAATGGTTGTGAACTAAAAGCAAAATGCAGCAATCCACAGGCCTCAGGCTACGGCCAGTGAGAGCTGAGGCCTGGGGCTTTGGCCACTCGAGGGCCAGTGTGTGGGAGGGTGGGGCTGACCCCTCCTGCATCCTCCGAAGCTGCAGAATGGATTTGGAGCCAGCATCGGCTTCCGCTGCGATGCTGGCTTGGGCACTGCCCCGGCGGCCTTGGCCCTCCTGCGGGTCTCTGTCTGTGACCTGCTTTGCGGGGTGTCTTTTCCTTTCTTTGGTGGTACTTCAGGAAGTGTGAAGACAACAGCTGCACTGCTCCGTGGAGTGCGCCCCGTGGCTGTGGTGGCTTCAAAGAGAGAGAACAGCTTCCTCCCTCACCAACTGTGCCAGCAAAAGGAAGGGGCACCAGGCTGCAGCCTCAGGACTGTGCCGTCCCCTCGCAAGCGTGAATTCCCGTGGGCCTCTTCCCAGGAGGCGGAAGGTCATCTCCTCCGGTAATCTCTGGAGCCTCGGGCTTGCCCACAGAACCTGGCCCTGAAGTGGATTCCCAGGCAGCGCCCATCTCCTCGGATGTTGGCTCCAACTCTGGGGGGCTGGGAGAGGCTGGCAGGCAGGCGCCAACACACAAGCCAGTGGGCCTGCGGGAGCTCAGGACCAGTTCAGGCTGAAGCCCTTCGACAGCATGGCGGCCTCCAGGTCCTTGTCCTCCTCTTTTTCCCGGAGCCGCTGCTCTTCCAGGAGGGCCACCAGGGAGTCTCTCTGCTCTACCACCTCCAGCATCTCGTTCAGGATCTTCTTCTCCTCTGACAACTCGTCCTCTGTCTTCAGGTGATCTAAAAGAGCAGCCAAAGGCATGGGGTGGGCAGCCCGGGAAGTGGCAGCCACCCGGCCACAGGTGGCCCGCCTACGCTTACCTTCCACGGCCATGCGCTCACGCAGTTCTTGCTGCAGTCGGCTCTGCCGGTCCTCCAGCTCCAGCTCCCGGGCACTGAGACAGGAGGGAGACAGTGACAGTGACTCCCACACCTCAGTGGCTCCGGGCTTGAGCAGGCCTAGTGCTGCGGTCCCCCCGGAGCTGGGGCCCCTAACTTCAGACTACTCACAAAATCATGAGCTCCGACTCGTAGCGCACCATGGCATTTTTCTCTTGCACCAGCTTGAACCACTCCTGCATCAGCTTGGGGTCATCCTTCTTGCCCATGCCTGCCAAGAGAGACCGAATGTCAGGCCGCAGGACCCGGTTCTGCCCGCCCAGCCCAGAGGGAGCCATCACACTGGGGCAAATGTGCAAAGAGAGCCGAGCGAGATGCTGCCGGAACACTCCCAAGCCAGGCCCAAAGTTTGCCTACCACCTTCGGGAGCGGGCAGAGAACGACAGCCCTGCCCTTGCCTCCCTGGGGTCTATCGGAGCACAGGCCTTCTATCTGCCCTGCAGCCCTGCCCTCGCCCCACAGGAACCCTGGCCGGTGGTCACTGTTCTTCCCCACAGGCTTGCTGCCACCTTCCTGCTCAGTGGCTTTCTTCCGGCATGCTCCAAGCTGCTCTGCTGCCACCAACCCCGCCTACATTCTTCATCCATTTCATACTTATCCCTGGCACTTGCTATGTACTAAGTGTCCTTTGAGAAAACCAGTCTAATGAGCAGGGCAAATGTAAACTGAAAATTCTTTTTTTTTTTTTTTCCTATGCTGTTGGTCAAAACCAAGGTCTCCTGAGCACTAGATGCAAGGCAAGTCTTCTCCCACTGAGTTGCATATTCAGCCTTAACACTTTGTTCTTTTACACTTATTTAACCCAGTTTCACCTCTGGGTCACTGCTTGTAATAACTCATCATTGCTTTATGTTGGGACCAGGAGACACCATCATTCCCCCACTGTGGTCCTAGGGATTGGACCCAGGGGTGTCTGCCACTGAACCACAGCCCCAGCCCCTTTTACTTTAGACAGGCTCTCCCTAAACAGCCCAGGCTAGGCTCGAACTCTTGCTTCAGTGTCCACACAGCTGGGAACACAGACCTGCGCTACCACATGGGCCTGGCAGGGAGATGCCACTTCTTAACATGTGCCTGCCAGGTTCCTGATGAACAAGCTAAGGGGTCCTGCGTGGCAGGAGCAGGGCACCCTGGGTAGCGACCAGCCTTCTCGCCACGGGCCCTGGAAGAGGAGGTGACCATGCCTTGTTCAGAAGCAGTGCTGGCGCCTCGGCAGGAGCTCACTCCGGCTGCCCTGAACTGACACATGGTTGGCTGGGCCCCGAGTTTCCAGCAGGAGTGGCTGGACCCGTGCTTAACTGCAGCGGGAGGAGGAAGCACTTTGCAGGGAACAAACTACCCAGGAGGAGCCAAAACTCCTTCCCTGGAGCATGAAGACGCCTGGGGCAATGCGTGGCTCTGGCTGACAGACAGTCAGTGGCTCTTTAATATATTTGGATTACAGACTGTTCAGAGTATGACAAAAAAGCTAAGGATTCTTCCTAGAAAAATGCTTATGTGAGGCCAGGTGTGGTGGCACACACCTGTAATCCCAGCACTCAGGAGGCTGAGGCAGGAGGATCGTCATGAGTTTTGAGATTAGCCTGAGCTACAAAGTGGGCTCAAAGCCAGCCTGAGCTGCATAGCGAGACCCTGTCTCAAAAAGACAATAAATAAATAAATAAATAAATAAATAAATAAATAAATAAAATGCTTATGTGTACTTTATTTATTTATTCATGGTCTAGGGACAGAACTCAGGGCTTTGTGCAACTTAGGTAAGTGCTGACCACTGGCTGCACCCCCAACCTGATGTCAGAGAATTTTACAAAGAATTCTGGGGTGTTCATATATTTCCTGAAGCCCAGCCCCAGGCCTTGGTTAGGAGGTGATGGGACGGACCATCTCTCCAAGTCCCTTCCGTTTCCCGAGGAGCCCGTCGGCCTACATCCTGGGGCAGGGGCCTTCTGAGGTGGCAGCCCCTCACTCCAGCCTGTGCTTGGCCACCCGACCCTTGTGCACAGCAGGCAAAGTCAAAGCTCCTGTGGAGCTGTCTGCTCACTATGCGAGGCCTGAGCCAGTGAGCTTTTAGTTGGTGGCCACATCTGGAGAGGCAGAAATGTCTGGTGTGCACACAAGCAAGAGTTAGTTTCTGCACATGCAGTGCTGCTCCGAGGGGGTGGCCCGCCCACGCCCTACTCTTGGGGACAGGGCCCAGCCTGTGGAGCCTGTCCTGTGCAGGGAGTGCTTGCCTGTGCGTCTGGGGCCTGGGCTCTCCCCACCCAACCCAATGGACTTGGGTCCTGGCTCAGTTCCACGCATTCCTTCCCAGCGTCTCTGCACAGTGTGCCCACGTGGCCATGAGGATGGAGCCCGAGGCATGCAAGCTGCTCGGGGTCTCGCCCTCCTACTCCCTGCCCACCCCCCGCCCCCGTGTAGGGTGGCCCTCCCCATCTGAACGCCGCTCATGAACCATGGCGGTGCTCGGCCACAGCGAGGAGTAGGGATGTGGTGGGGTGGGTGAGGTCAATGTGAGAGCCATGGAGAGCAGAGGAGGAGGTTAGCGAGGGTTAGTCATGGCCACACGCCCCCGGCCCCCTTCCACATGCCTTGTCAGAGACAATCTTATCACCACAACAGACTTCAAACCAGACAAACTTCAAAACAAAACAAAACAAAACAAAACACACTCAGCAAGACACGAGGTAGAAAAGTTTGCTTCTCGTGGTTGTGTTGATAAAGAACTTGGGGCGCTTGTGTAGACCAGTCTTTGTAAGGACAGTATTCCTTGACTCTGTCAGTACAAATCGCTGTCCCGGTGGGAGGTCCTCCCCAGGGGCCCTGGCCCATCTGGTGGACTTGAGGCGTACAGGTCCCGGCTGTGGGTGCAGGCCTACACGGGGCGGTCTGCAGCCTCTAGATGCCAGGCCTGGAGGCCTCGGCTGCCCTCTGTACCCAAACACCCTTGCGACTGTCAAAGGGATACTGTGCCTTGTAAGAAACTGCCACATACTCGGAACATTCTGGAAAGGACTGTCATGTGTCAGAGAAGGAAGGAGCAACGATTGGGCTTTGGCTCCCTGTGGGACTAATGTGGCCACGACCCCACCGAGGTGGTGGGGATGCGGGGGACGAGGTTACGTTACCTTCCTGGACACAGCAAGGGCAGAAGGAGAGAGGTCTACGCCGTGGAGTCCCGCCACTGGGCTCAACTTCAAAAAGGACCAAACAAGGAAGAGGAGAGGAAGAAATGGAGAAGGACAAAAAAGAAAGAGAAAAAAAGAGGAGGTGGTGGAGGAGGAGGAATTTGGATGTGGAGAGGGACAGGGAGAAGGTGAAATAAAAAACAAGCAGAGGACAAAAAGCAGAAAAGGTGAGAAAGGAACAACAGGAGGAAAAGCAAAAAATACAAGAAATGGAGAAGCAGAAACAGGGGAAACAAAGTCTACAAATGAATTAAGTCCTTTTTTTTTTTTTTTTTTTTTTTTTTTTTTTTTAGCACGGGAACTGAACAGAGCAGGCCCTGGTAAGGGCAGTGGACGTGACGTGGGCATGTGGCACAATGGGATGGTGGATTATTCCTCTAAAGACACCCATGTTCCCGTCACACCCCAGTGGCTTGGGCCAAGTGGGGCCACACCTCCCTCCTGCCCTTACTAGGAGGGTGGTGATGTCTGGGTAACTGAGGCCTCAGCTGCTGGGCTTCCTCCTCAAAAACACCCACAACCCCCAGGTGGCCTGCCTACCTTGTGGAACAGACTGTACTATGTGGTCAACGTTGCTTCTAGGTGTGCAGGTGGTAATCTGAGGTCACCAACCAAACCTAAGTGAAACATCTCAGATGTCATCCCAGGCACCTGTGCTTGAGGATAAACTATCTGGGGATGAGTCTACAGGCCAGGAGGTGCTGTCACCCTTGGCCACGGTGCCCACGGACAGGAACTCAGTCTGTGGAGGCAGCACCCTCGTCTAGAGATGGGCCATTGGGCTCTGATGTGTGCAACACTTCCGACTGCCCCACGACTGTGTGGGGGAAATGCACACACACAGAGAGAAGACTCCACCAGCCAGCATCACTACCCCTCCCGTGTGACAGCCACCTCCTTTCTTCCTGGCCCTTCTATCCTGGGGAGGGATCCAATGTCACAGCAGGGGGACGCTGTCACATTGTGGACGGCAAGACCAAGCAGAGGCGAGCTGACAGGACACGCTGACAACTCACAGTCACGACGCCGGTAAAGTGGGGGTGGGACAACCGAGAGGAGACAGTGTATAGAGACATCTCCAGACCTTGGGGAGACCCGATGGCTACTCGAGGAACAGGGAGAGGAGCTGAGCAAGGGACCATCACAGAACCAAGGAGCACACATGGAGACAGTGGAGCCCAGGAAACAGGCCAGAGCTGAGGGGGTGGCTCGGGATAGAACAGGCCTGGGTCAACAGGAGGCCAGACTGACGCCACTGCAGAGGCCACTGCACTCTGCAGGGGACGAAGGCACGAGCCTTGTGCTCTCCTAGGCCCTTCCCCGCTCCCGCAGTACTGTGCGCACAGCAAACTCGATCCTCCCTATGACCTGGAAACGAAAGCCACCGCACGGGTGAAGTGTTTGACACAGCCAGTGTCCTCGGGGGACATGACTTGGGCTGGCTGAGGCCTGGGCGCAGGGCACAGAGGTTTCTTCCCTCAAAAACTGTCGCGCCTTCCAGCTGACCTCCCATTGGCCTTCTTGGTGTCAGAGTGCACAGTCTGCCTGAATACAACAACAACAAACAACCCCTGCTGCTTGGTGAGACTGATGTCACACGCGATGGTCACCAGCAAGGGACAGAGACATGGCATACAACCAGTGTTCATTCAAAACCAAGCAGGAGCCTGCGTGTGTGCTGCGCGTGCTCCCGCTTCTGAACACCACGAGACGCAGCCTTTCTTTCCTTTTATGCAGACCACAGTCCTGTCACCTACTAATACTCAGCACGCTTTCAGAGAGCACAACCCTGAGAAATTAGGAAGTAGAACGAGAAGGATAGCTATCAGGCAAAGCAAGAGTTAGAAAGAAAGAAAAGAAAGGCCTTATCCTAACAACAGACCAGAAGAAGTGTGTGACAAGCCGGAAGGAGGAGCCCTCTGCGATGTGGACAGGAGGGAGCCACAAGGCTTGTGTTCTCTCTCTCTCTCTCTCTCTCTCTCTCTCTCTCTCTCTCTCTCTCTCTCTCCCCCCTTCCTCCCTTTCTCTCTCTTTTGGTGGCACTGCAGACTGAACCCCGGGCCTTGCGTGTGCCCAGGGCGCGCTCTGCCCGAGTCACGCCCCCAGCCCTACTTTCTTGGCTAGCTCCGAGACCTCCGTATTACATGTGCACAGTTATGATCAGCAAGAGCACCGAGAGAAGGGGCGAGTGCAAGTGCTTGCGCGGGGAGTTCCACACCAGCCCGGTATCTGAAAGGCACACGCGAGCCAGGCGCAGGGCTCTGGCTTGGATGATAATTTCTTTGCCTTTTATGGAGATGTGAAAAACAGACGCTCTGGTCCACTAGTCAGAAGAGCAGAGATGTTGTTAAGCTTGCTGTTAAGCCTAAAAATTTAAATTTAAGGGTAACGGGTTCCTGCATCTTCCTACTGGTACCTTGTTTATCACTTTCCCGAACATGTCTGCAGTCTCCGCTCTTCTGCGCTCCCCGGAACTTGGTCCTGGGCGAGGCTCTTTCCTAGTAGCGCCCCTCTCTCAGGGCCCTGCCTGCCTTCCACTCCCGAGCTTACTTGTCCGTCCACACCTGGCCACGAGCTAAGCCTCTTCTCGGGCAGGACTGCGTTCTTTGGAGTGGGACCAGCACTGGCCATTCGCAGTGGCCGCCACCTGGACATCTGGTGTTAGTGATGCGTGTCACTCCATTCTGAGAGCAGCAGAGCACCATCGTGGAGCGCTGTGTGCTGCACCGCCCCCAGTGGGAGGAGAGACGGCTCTGCTCTGGCCCAGGATGCAGCGCCTGCGCAGCATCGCCTCTGTCTCTCCGTGAGGAACAGAGGCGCACAGGAGTGAACCGGAAGCAGAGCCTGAACAAGCTCCAAATCTCCCTTCCCTTCCATGAACTAAGAGCCTGCCTTCTCCAAAGCCTGCTGTGGCTGGAGAAGAACCCACTGGAGTGCCAGGCCAGGAAGGGAGGTGCCCAGCCCCTGCTCCCCAGGCTCTTGGGAGGCCCCGCTGGACAGCGGGAGGGCAGGACCTGACTCTGATTTCCTCCCAAACTGAGGGTGCTCGTCACACATCCTCCCTGCCTGTGCCCTGCCTAGACAGCTCACTCTCTAGGCCCTGCTGTCCTCACCTGGGGCTGCCAGGACCCAGCCTGTGGTGGAAAGGCTGGCAGGGACAGAAGAGTCCAAGGGGGTCCCTGTTTCTCTACTTACTCTTTCTCTGTCTTTCCTTCCTTCTGATTTTCTTGCCTGTCTGTCCTCTCTCTCTCTTTTCTTTCTTTTTTTTTTGAGACAGGCTCTTGCTAGGTAGCCCAGGCTAGCCTTGAACTCAAGGCGATCCTCTTGCCTCAGCCTCGTAAGTGCTGCCACCCTCTTTTTCTTTTACTGCCTGGATGGAATCTAGGCCCTTCAGCACGTTAGGCAAGCACTCTGATGCTGAGCTATAACCTTGGCCCCTCACATGACTTCTTTTCTGTATCTCTGTCTTCCCCCACTTCCCCCTAAAGGAAGCGTGGAGATTTCAGCCTAATGCACTGCAGGCTCCCTCTTCACCTTCCCGACCATCAAACAAAACACTCCTAGTTGGAAAAAACAAGCAACTAAGCCAACGCCCAAGTCATTGAGACCGGATGGGATGCTGCTGTGGAATGTACAGGAGCCTCCCCTGAGGCCGAGAGCAGAGCGAGCTCACGCTTTCCTTACCAGCACTGAAGCCTGTCCTGGTCGAGACCAAGGCCCAGGCCTAGCGCGAGTTGAGGGCAGTCAGCCCTCAGCTCTGCCCTTTTCAGTTCATTGATCTTGGGAACACCAGACCCATGGCATCTGCGCTTGCGCTAACATCAGAAACAACTACAGTCACCTTAAGTCCTGGGCTTACTGCACGGACCAGGTAGAGACTACTGATTTAAGTTTGTGGTGCACGTCTGGGGAAAGGCCTCTGCTGGCCTCCCACCAGCCCCAGCTGTATTTTTTCTTTTCTTGTCTTTGAGACAGGGTTTCATTATGCAGTTCAGGATGGCCTTGAATTCACTGTGTAGCCCAGGCTGGCCTTGAACTTGCAGCAATCCTCCTGCCTCTGCCTCCTGAGTGCTGGGATTACAGGGGTGTGCCACCACGCCTGAACCCACTTTTCTCAAGAGCCAAAGCATGGATGGAAGCAAAAGCTGAGGGTGGCTATAGAAGGAAACAGACCAGTCTCAGGGGCTCCTGGACAAAGGGGACACCAGGCAGAACGAGTCCCAGTGTGAGCCTCATCTCTACTTAAGCTCCCAACTCCCTTACTCAAGGAGCCACTGTGACGGGATTAGTGGTCCAAGGCCTGCCAGGGGACGTCTCGATCCCAGAAGTGCCAGCCCGGCGAGTGGCGCTTCCCTAAGATCGTCCACTAAAACCTACTGAGGAAGATGGCTGCTAGCAGCCGAGCCGGAAGCTATCACTGTGTTTCTTGGGTACAGAGTTCCAAGTTGTAAGCTTGCAAACATCATAGAATATTATCCTTTTGGAAGCTAGACATTACCACCTCATCGAATCCTTTTTTTTTTAGCAGGGTCTTGTTATATAGCTCCAACTGGCCTTGACCTCACTACATAGCCCAGGCTGGCCTTGAACTTGCAGTGATCCTCCTGCCTCAGCCTCCTGAGTGGTGGGATTACAGGCGTGAGCCACTGCACCTGGCTTCACTGACAATCGTCTTGTCTGGGCTAGTAGTCTGACATAAAAGGAAAGCGACAAAATCTCTTCGACTAAGGCTATGCTCAATTATTTTCACTCTCAACTCGAGCAGCCACGTACTTGGTCAGTACTAAGGTCATGCCTTGGTGGGAGGTGGAAGGCGGCAAGCCTGAGACCAAGTCCAAACCCCAGGGCCGTGACAAACGCAGCAGCCTAGGTGGGTGTCTGCAAGGCAGTGGGGTGGTGAGCAGCACTGTGACCGTCAGGCTGAGGCCTGGCAGGCCCCGTCTACACACAGGTGACAGGGCTAGGTAGATACCTCGTGCCGCAGAAGTTCAGGACAGAATCAGTCC